TAGTAGGGAATCTAATTGGACAGCTGTCTAAACGCCTAGTACGAATTCGTACAAATCCGTTCCGAAATTTATGCCTTGATCTTTGGGCCATTGCGGGAATCTCGCCTTTTCTGTTACAAAACCACAACGACATTATCTCGGAGTTGGTCACGCTCAGCCTTGGTATTCATCGGTCACTCTGATCTTCGAACTTCGAACTCTGCCATCGAGCTCGGACCCAGTCTATTTCGAACTCGCTAGATCCTCGAGCCTACGAAATCGGGTAGCCCGGATTTCTACCGTATACAGATAGTCCCCTCATTTTTTGGAGTATAACAACAAGAAACGAATTGAGTCCTTGATTTTTACCCCGATCTGCCACGACATCATCATCGCGACGTAAGCGATTGAGGAAACAAAAGGTGGGAAGCCGGCCTTTCCCGAGGAAGACTCCGAGAACTCTAGCGAGTCCGGCGGTGGAGAAGATTCTGAGGGTGAAGACACTTCTATTGATAAGGATCGTGCTGCTTAGGCTTCGTGTTCTTCGTAATTTTTCGCTTTTGAGGTTGATCGATCCTCGCGAGGCACTCTTGATCGTGACCTATAGTCTTTGTAAAAAGGTTTATACAAAGCTTTTTTTTCCTTCCATGGCTTCTGAATCTGCTACCCCTTTTGTGCGGGTCAAAGCGCCTTAGCGTAAAATTCCTTTTGAATGTCCAAAGTCTGAGATGGTAATGACCGACAATAAGTACTGCCTTCGAACGTTTCTGATCAATGGACCCTGTATGACCATTTGAACTTTAGTTTGAGTAGCTCTTAGGCTCAACAGTCGATGAGGTAAGGTAGCCTTTGGGCTTTATAGACGAGCGAAGATTTTCTCGAACTCGAAGTAAAGTTAGCCCTTAGGATTTATAGATAGTCCCCGAGTAAGAGTTTGCTCAAACTTGGGTTAAGGTAGCCCTTAGGCTTTTATGATCGAGTGAGGATTTGCTCGAACTCGAAATAAAGTTAGCCCTTAGGCTTTTTTATATTGGCCCTTAGGCTCTTTAGATCGGCCCTAAGGCTCTTTTAGGTCGGCCCTTAGGCTCTTTGAGTTGGACCGATTCGGCCTCTAAAAACGGCTATGACTTTTCCCTCTTTTCGGCTAAAAGACTTAGTGAAAATTTTTCTATTCCTTAGTATGTGTTTTTTGTACCCGTTGGGTTTTTCGAAGGTTCGACTGATCGGAACCTTACTTGTAATTTATTTGTGTAACGGTAATTGAAAACCTCTTGAGGCTTTTTCGAAGGCTGATGTTATCGAAGCCTTTAAATTATTGGAGGGCTGATTTTATCGAAACCCTTTATCATTTGCTTTTGCCGAGGGTAGCCTGATTTAACAGGTTTTTCAAAGTGTTTGAAGGCCTTTATTTTATGATGGAAGTCGGATGTCTCCGAGCCGCATTATTTGGGCCGTAGCCTTTTTATATGACCGTTGTCTTTAGTATGGCTGTAGCCTTCGGGTATGTCGTCTCTTGGACTTGTTTCCCGATAACATTTCGAACTTGTTCGAAATGTTAGTCTCCGAGTGTGATGGCCTTGGCCTGTATATCGGGGGTGCCTCATTGAGGTCTTATTATTTAGATAGCTCGGGTAGGTAGTACCCGAGTGTTCGTGATATGCTTGCACTTAGGTTAAAATAGCCCTTGGGCTTTTGTGATCGAGTGAGGACTCGCTCAAACTTGAAGTAAAGTTAGCCCTTAGGCTTCATAGATAGTCCCCGAGCAAGAGTTTGCTCGAACTCGGGTAAAGATAGCCCTTGGGCTTTCGTATTTGTTACGGATTTCGAGCATCTCCGATCCGCGTTAATTTGGCCGTAGCCTCTTTAGTTCGGAACTTACCCTTTGGGCTTATCTTCCCTTTCACTTCGAGCTTGCCCGAAGTGTCAGTCCCCGAGTGGGGTGGCCGTGGCCCGTAAAGTCGAGGGTTGCCTTTAAGGTCTTATGGTCTCGAAATGTTAGCAGTTTGATTCCGTTTGTTTTTGGGACGGCAGTCCTCAAGCATGGGATCAGTTGTTCGAATTTCCGTCGTGGTCGGCCCTTAAGCCTATCTAGACAATAGATCAAGAGTATAAAATATGAAATTTCTCTAAAGGAAGGGGATATCGGCAAGGAAAAATACATCTCTCAATAGATGATTGTAAATGTGCGCACATTTGATGTTACGGTCCAAGTAACCTATACGGGCACAGTTCATCTGACTGTTTGGCCCTCACAACATTTTCCTATCGAGACCCTGCTGCTACAAAGTGATTTCCTTGCAACAAAGTAGACATTCGAGGGTAATGCCCCCAGTACTTGAGGCTTATATTAGGGAATCTCAGATACTATTAAATTGCTCTCAGTTAGCACGAACAACGGTTGCCTCGTCAAAAACCTCGCCGGAAAAACCCATTTGGAACAAAAACCTGTCTAAGGGAAAAAGAGTGCAACACGAGCTTTAAGATCCAAAGCTTCATGCCAATCCTTGTCTATAGCCTACAAGTGTTAGTCGAAAAAATAGAAAGGATTGGACTAGGCTTTATTCGGACTTTGGATACTTAACGTGATCTTCCTCAGCATCAAGCCCCCGTGAATTTTGACCTCGATCATTTCTCCTCTTATTTCGTGCAAAGCTTTTCCCAGAACTACTGCCTCTATGGTCTCCGTTGTACGGTTGATATCGATCTCCATTCGACCTCAGATCTCGATCGATATCCCTTTTGATCCTATCCATAGTCCTGCTAGGATAAACAGACCCCGAAGGAGTCCCCAGTTGACCATCCTCGATCCTAATCTTCGACTGACACCGATTATGTACGTCGGCCCAAGTGACGGCCGCGTACTCGATTAAACTTTGCTTCAACCGCTGTGAAGTTATGGAACTCCGAGTGTTGAGGCCTTGAGTGAAGCTTGAACAGCCCAGTCATCGGTGACCGGAGGCAAAATCCATTCTCTCCGCTTGGAATCGAGATAGAATTCCCTGAGCATCTCGTTATTTTTCTGCCTTACCTTGAAAAGGTCCGACTTCCTTGTTGCAATTTTAATGGCTCCGGCGTGTGCCTTTACAAAAGAATCTTCAAGCATAGCAAACGAATCAATAGAATTAGGGGGCAAGTTATGATACCATATTAAGGCACCCTTGGATAGACTCTCCCCGAACTTCTTCAGCAGTACAGACTCGATTACGTCGTCTTCCAAGCCGTTTCCCTTTATGACGCACGTGTAAGAAGTAACGTGTTCATTTGGGTCAGAGGTTCCGTTGTATTTAGGTATATCGGGCATACAGAACTTCTTTGGGATGGGCTTCAGAGTCGCACTCGGAGGGAACGACCTTTGTACGAATTTCTTGGCATCCAATCCCTTCAAGATCAGGGGAGCTCCCGGTATTTAATCGACACGGGAGTTATAAGTCTCCATTTTTTTGTCATTATCCTCAATCCTTTTTTTCCCCGGACTCGATCCTCTTGGTGAGCTCTTCGAGCATCCTCATAATTGTGGGGTCAGTCCTCGAGCCATTTTTGTTTGATCTTTCTGGCGCCGGTTCAACACGTCGAATGTTTTCTGGTTCAGCTATACTCAGAGTTTTATTCTGACTTTGAAGTTGAGCGATGGCAATATGTTGAGCTTGTAGCATCTCGAATATCACTTGGAGGCAGATTCCCCCATCTCCTATACCCTGTGTTCCTTGGCCCCCGGATCGGGCTCCCTACGTGCACTTCCTCCGGGGTCTGCGCCTAAATCTTCATTCAAAGCCATGTGTGAACTAACATCAACTGGTTCCACATTTGGCACTTTCCCAGGGTTTATCGGTGGTACACCGACCCCTACATTGTTGTTTTGCCCATGAAATCCAAGACCTTCGTTGTCGTGGACAGGAGCGTTTTGCAAGTTTGACATGTTTAATCCTGAGAACAAAAATTCTTGACAAGAACAAGTGTGAAAATAACGTGTGTTATCAGAATTAGTACTGAAATAATCACTATTATCTTTAGCCCCACGATGGGCGCCAAACTGTTTACCTCGAGTAACAATTAAATTTGATTTATAGTTTTAAAGATGCGTGATTTAGTTCAAACTAATTAATAACCAAGAAATCTGAAGTATAAATGAAAGAAATAAGTGAGATCAAACCAGTAGGTAAGTCAGTCTCGACCTCGAGCCAAAGTGACCTCGAGATGGATCAAGAACAATAAAGCAAGAATAATAAAGCTAAATGACAATTCTGATGAACAATGATCGAAAATGTAAGAGAGTATATTCTTTTCCAATGATTGAATGTCCATTACAAATGATTGGGCTCCCCTTTATATAATAGGGGAGTCCTAATTAACGTACATTTCTGTTTTTGGTAAGGAATCGAATTGGACAGCTGTCTAAACGCCTACTACAAGTTCGTACAAATCCGTTCCGGAATTTACGTCTTGATCTTTGGGCCATTGCGGGAATCTCGCCTTTTTCTATTACAAAACCACAACGGCATTATCTCGAAGCTGGTCACGCTCGGCCTTGATATTCATCGAACACTCTGATCTTCGAACTTCGAACTCTGCCATCGGGCTCGGACCCAGTCTATTTCGGACTCGCTCTTGAAGTGATCCTCGAGCCTACGAAATCAGGTAGCCCCGATTTCTACCGTATACAAGGAACTTATCAATTGAACTTATCTAATTTAAATGCTGAATTCGTCTCTATATATACACATAGTTCACTAAGCACATGCAATTGTAAGAACTGAATTGGTTTTTAATTGGAAACAGAAAATTAACTCTTCCTTAATTGGTTCAAAGCTACACGTCTCATGTTTAATCTTTCTTGAGTTACCTAAATCAGGGTTAAGGCCAAACTTCATAGTAATCCTCACTTGATATTAACAGAAGGGAACTATATCTAGGTGGAAATGTGATTACCTTTTCTAGCTCGTACCTACGTAAAGCTAAGTGTACTGATGAATATATATATAAGAGCATACTGGTGCTAATTAACCTAAGAGAGAGTGAAAGAATTAGCTCACCTAATTAATTAAAAGGTTGGTGCTATCTTTCATTAGAATATAGGAAATATGAAAACAGTGATATTAATGGTGCTAAGTCAATTAGCATCTGGAAGTGTAAACATTTTGTACAAGATTGCTGTTGCTGATGGAATGAATGTCCAAATTATGGTCTTCTACAGATTGGTTTTTGCCACTGCTTTTATGGCCCCTCTTGCTTTCATTATTGAAAGGTTCTTTAATTTCCTTTAATTTGTCTAGTGTGAAAATTTAGTACTGGAATTTCACAATCTTCTTTTCTTTTGGTGCTTTAATATTTGAATTCTCGTGGAACTTTTTTTCTACTAGAGACTCATTTTACGCGTAAATAATGTCGAAGTGCAACCTTTTAATTAAGTTTGAATAATGGAGCACTTTGATTAAGTATCAGCAATAACCTTTTAATTAAGTTGAATAATGGAGCACTTTGATTATGTATCATCAATATTTTGTTTATATACTGTTGCTTTTGACTTTTAAGAGTCTGTGTTCCTTTCTTGCATCGTTGAAGTTCAATTTTTTTTTTCTTTGCATCGTTGAAGTTCAATTTTTTTTTCTTTTCACATTCAAATCTTTATTAAAAGGAACCTTGGAGCAACAGTAAAGTTGTCTTCGTGTGATATATATAGGTCACGGTTTCGAGCCGTGAAGCAGCCACTAATGCTTGCATTAGGGTTGGTTGTTTACATTATACCCCTTGAAGTGCGGCCCTTCCCCAAATATGAATACAAAACGAATTGTGCACCGGGCTGCCCTTTTTACTTTCAATTCTTTATTACTAGTACCATTTTTCTATCGTACCGAAATATAAAATACTATTTATAGATTCAATGAAGAGCAGCTTGTTTATACTATTTCTTTTCTTCTTCGCTTTTGTAGAAGAAGTAGACCAAGATTAAGCTGGACAATACTCTTCCAAGGGTTCGTGAATGGATTGTTGGGGTGAGAATTACTGGATGATATCAATCGCATCATTTTCAATTATTTCAATTAATGGATTGTGTTTAGAGATACATTCTTAGTATGTTTGTGTGTGCGCGCGCTTTAATATCATTCCATATTTATTAAAAGTATTTTTCTTATCACTAGACTAGATAAATGCCACAAACACAAAAAAAAAAAATTCATCCTTAAAATTTTGGAAATAATTTGGGTATATTTGTTTTACAGAGCAGCACTTGGAAGCAATTTCAATGCGGAGAGTTTAATTTACACAACAACAACATTTTCATCAGCCATGTCTAACCTTACTCCTGGAGTGACATTAATTTTGGCTGTAATTTTGAGGTAATTCATTTCTTCAAAATTATTTGGAATCTCTTAATTTGATGTTTATAACCTCTTATATTATTTTTTCCGCCTAAGAATTGTTATCAAAAGAGATGGATACGAAAGTACATATTTGAGAATTACTGCCAAATATTAGTGGAAACAAGAATTTCTTTTATAGTGTCAATTTGACTAAGTTTACGAGGAAATAAGGTAACCAAAATTAATATTGCTAACTATTACTATGTTGACTTCACGAGAAAAAAAAAAGAAGGAACAAAAGCCAAAACTTTGCTAGGATAAATAACTGGACCACGTCTCATTAAGATCCAATGGTTCGTCAAAACTAACCACTTTTCAGCCACTTTATTGAAAAATAGCAAATATCCTGGAGTTTGAAGTGAAACTCCACGATACTGTCCTGGGGTTTCACTTGTGATATTTGAAAGTTTAGATCAATAGCAATTCTTCAAAGATAGGACCAAAAGCGGTGAGTGTTGCGAATTTGCGATTGACATCTATCTCGCCCTCTGAACAATGGGGTAGCACACTGTAACCTTTTGCAGGTGTAGATCAGACATACCTAAACATAATATATATGTATTTAACAAAAATCTAGATGCAATTAACTTTCTTTTATTTGTTGCCAATAATTTGTGACAAAAAGGCCATGAAATTCACAGGATGGAAAGCTTGGACATTCATAGGTTAGCAGGAAAAGCCAAGTTGCTAGGAACTATATTGGGCATTATGGGAGCACTAATTCTGAATCTTTACAAAGGAATGAAGATTCCATTTTGGTCTACCAATATACATCTTCTTCATACTGCTAATGTCACTGCAACATCAGCACAACCAACAACCTACAACAATGTTTGGGGTTCAACACTTGCATTTTTAAGTTGTGCTTCTTATGCTTCTTGGTTGATCTTTCAGGTTATTTTTGCAATTAATTTCTCCATTAACTAAATTAAGATATATGGTCAGTATCTTGATACAATGTATTGTGTTCTATTCTCTTTTCTTGACAACAGGGTAAGATGAGGCAGAGGTACCCCATGTACTCAAACACTGCATTGATGTGTTTTTGTGGGGCAATAGAAGCAGGCATCTATGCTTTTTTAAGGGAAAGGGATTCATCTGCCTGGAAACTTGGCTGGAATATCAGACTTTTCACTACTTCTTATTCGGTATGTCACTCAATTCTTATACGCATTAGGGGCAATCAAACCAACACATCCCAATCTCGAGTTTTTCAACATTTCTTTCAGGGCATTGTTTCTTCAGGATTAGCAGTAACCATGATAGCATGGTGCACAAAACTAAAAGGGCCGCTCTATGTCTCTTCATTCTATCCGTTGGCACTTATCTTTGTAGCTATAGTTGGTACGCTTGTCCTTCACGAGGAGCTGCACCTTGGAAGGTAAAAATCTACCCTGTTACTGTCCAATTGCAAATAGTTTCATTCAGAAACTGATGATTTCTGCTTGTGATGATAGCATTATAGGATCAATATTCATCATTGCCGGCTTATATATTGTGTTATGGGGAAAAGCCAAAGAGTTGAGACTAGCTGAAACTGAAGCCCTAAAAAGTAAAGCTGAAACTGAAGGCTTAAAAAGTAACAACAATGGAGTCATTGAGATCATCTCATTTGCTGGTGGAAATCTGGCTACTGCTGCAATAGTACCAGAATTAGAAACTGATCATCAAATTGTTACTACATCAGCTGCGCCTCTTCAGGAACCATAACTGAAAGACCCGCAAAATCAAATGTTTTATTTCCACTTTTCCTTATTTAGAATGGAGCACAAGAATTAGAAAATCCATGTATAATAAATATCTCAGTGAATAAAGAACTAGAAAAATGTCAAAAACATATTAACTCATCGTATTGCAAAAAACTAATTATAGAGTGTGTTTAAACGTACCATTGATGAATGAGATGAAAATATAGTATGTAATTAAAACTCAAACAACAACCAACAAATGAATGATTAAATCTAGCTAATCACAACTTGTTCAACCAACAAAAAACAGCTCCACGCCATCCACCTTGCAAACTTCGAGCAACTAAGCAAAACAAAGTTTCATTCTTCAAAGCCTTCTGCATTATGGTTCACTTATCCTACCAAGACTAGGCCGAATTCTTTTCTTCTATTACAGTTTTCTCTGCCTCAGCAACTGGTTTTTCTTCTGCTTTCGTCTCCAGTGGAGCTTCAGATTTTGGAGCCTCTGTGGCAACTGGTTTTTCTTCTGCTTTCGTCTCCACCGGAACTTCAGATTTTTGAGCCTCTGTTGCAGCTGTTGCCTCTTCCATTTTCTTCTCTGCAGGAGTCTCAACTGCCACTGTTACTTCCTCTATTTTCTTCTCGGCAGGAGTCTCTACTGCCACTGTTATTTCCTCTACTTTCTTCTCAGCAGGAGTCTTGGTTTCTGATTTTACTTCCTCTATCTTCTTCTGCTCAGAAGTTTCCGCCTTGGGGGCCTCTATTGTGGATATCACTTCTAGAGCTTTTTCTGTCTCCGTCCTTACAGGAGCATCAACAACCTTCTCAACTTCTTCTGGCTTGGCTTCTGATGGTTCGGAAGCTAGTGTTATCTCAGATGCCTCCTCTTTCACTTGCTCCGATCCCTTAACTTCTTCACTCTGCGACAAACAAATAGAACATATCAGAAGCTAGACAAATGCTACCAAACAATATCAAATCAATGTTCCCCCTTCTTGTTCTTTTTAGCAAAACAACTATCTTTTTGCAGTAAATGGTACCTATGTGAACAAGCATAGAATATCCTATTTACTCAAGTCAAATAAGCTGGCAATTGAATGGTTAAACCACAAACTCAACCAATCTATCAATTCCATTCACATTTATTACATAAAGTTGAAGTCAAAAACTATGAACTAAAAACATGACTACTTCATTTCTTCCATGTGGCATAGTAAAATATTTGGTAGGCAACTAAAGGCATGTTAATAAACTAGGAAAAGAATGAGATGGACAAAACTAGAAACTAGAAACTAGAAACTAGAAAGTTGGTTGAAAGGAGAATATATTTTTCTTTTCTTTTTTGTTTGAGTAGAGGGGAAAAAGGGGGCAGCCCGGTACACAAAGCATCCCGTATTTACGCAGGATCCAGGGAAGGGCCGCACCCCAAGAGATGTGAGTAGAGAGAAGGGAAATATTTTCTTTCTTTTCTACCAAGAAGAAGGAGATTCTCATTTTTTCCCTTTCTCTTCCTCTTTGTAGTTCCTGATGAAGCTGTGTTATGTTACTTTACACAATCTTGAAATTGCTTAAGTTAAATGTCAAAAAGTTGCAATACAAACTTTTCCAATTAATTAAAAGGTACACTATATTTATAACCAAACAATCCAGAATACCCTAATGGCAGTGTCACTATAATTGAAAAAAAGTGAGTTAAGATACATGAAAACCAGTGAAACAAAAAGGCAGATAAAACCAGCAATATTGTCTAGTACTCCCTCCGGTCCAAAATAAGTGATTTTTTGGCCTTTTTCTTGTGGTCCAAAATAAGTGATTTTTCCAGATTTCAAGAATGAATTAATTATTTTTTTCCTACATTGTCCTTGGAGTAAATAGTGTTGGAATATGTGTTAGGAGTGTTTATGTGAGATAGTAAAGGTTAATATGGTCAATTCCATTGCTAATTAATGCTAAAAGGTGAATTTCTTAATCTGTGTGAAAACATTCAAAAATCACTTATTTTGGACCGGAGTGAGTATAAAAGAAAGACTATAAAAACAAGACTACACAGAAACAGAAACAAAGGAGAAGAAAACAAGTTTAGTGGTCCATTACCAAGAAAACAAACACCCTGTTTGGTTGTCAACAGCTCAGGATCCAACTGAATGTCAAACATCATTACCAAGATTCTTTTAGACCACAAAGACTCTAAAATATAGCAATTAATCTGTACTTCCACCACACTATCTCTTTTCCAGCCAGGCAAATTAAAGAATAAACAATTCTTACAGCAAAAAAAAATTAAGTTTGGTTTCAGGATTAAGGGTATCTTTAAGGAAAGATAAAGAATGCCGACAAAAATACTAGTGAAAAATAAATGGATGGACCATAAAATTATGATGACAGTCCATTAATGTCCAAAAAAATAATTACATGTTGGTATTAATTTATATCACATTCATTAGGCCTAGAGTGGCGTTTATGACTTGCTTAAGTACCTACTTTCTTGCTTGCTCATAGGTATTAATGTCTATCATCAACATTCCAGTAAAAATATCCAGTTTTCACAACAATCAAGAATAAAACCTTAGATGCAAAAATACTTCATTTTTTAATGTTACATTCCGAGCCAATAATTGATGGATAACCCAATAAAAATAGTAATCCACCTCTCTTTTTTGATAGCCATTAAGGTGGATTATCATCATTACAAATAACATAATCCATTAGTCCAAAAACAAAAGAACAAGATACTTCCTCCGATCATTTTCAGTTGTCATGGTTACTAAAAATAATTGATAGACTAATATGATGAAGATTAAATCCATAAATAAAAGGTAAATTAGTAAAAAGCTGTTCTTATTAATATTTTCTTAAGGAGTGTCTAAAAAGCAAATATGACAATTAAAAAGAATAGATGGTAGTATTAGCAACAAATATTTTATTTTTAAAAAATAATGAAATAAAATCCTAAGATTTACTTTTTCTTTTCCATAAATAAAATAGGAATATTCAGCCATCAATAATACAGACAAAAAATAGAAAAGAGTGTAAACAAGAAAGGAAAGGGCAAATGGGAGGTCAATCTAAAGATCACCAGAAGAACAAACAAAGAGAATCTCGTATATACGAAAATCATTTCCTTTTAGCTCCAATTTGAAGCTGTTCTCGAATAATATACAACAGATTCAGAGCAACCAATATTAAAATAAACAGCAATCAAAAACGCAATTAAAAAAATAAGAATATACTAAAATCAACAATATGAAAACAATTAAGTATTATGGAAAAGAACCAAAATGACATCAATAGTTCTATTTCTACAAATAAAAACAAATATTATAACGAAAAAATGAAGATAAATATAAAAATAGGATAGTTGAAATATGAAAGTTGAAAATACCTGCTTGAACAAGTTAGAGAGAGATCGGCGTTTCTCAGCATCATCATCAGCACCAACTTCTACTTCCGCTACCACAGTCACATCCTTCGCCGCTACTTCCGCCGCCGTAACGTTCTCCGGTGCCGCTTCCGGCGCCTCTCCTTTCAACTCCTTTGGCTTCGTCGCACACGCTCCCATCTTTTTTTTTTCCCTTGATTATTTCTCCCACGAGACCCCTTTTTCTTCTTTTATTTTCCCCTTAAGAGTTTTTTTTTTCACTTGGAGAAAAAGAGAGGAGAGAGATTTTATAGTGGCGGGAAGGTTTTATAGTCTATTTCAGACGATCCTTTTTTCTAAAGCCCAGAGACATTTTAGTGGGACTTCACCTTCTTCTTTTTCCTTTTTAAATCATTTTTTTCCTTATTTTTCTTCAAACTTTTGCTACTTATTGTGTCTTGAGAGAAAATTAATGATCGTGTGTTCCAACATACTTATAGAAAGTTAATCTATATTTTATTCGATTACCATTTTGTTTAGAAAAGAATTAAACAACATTGTCCAAGTTCATAGTACCTAAAACTAAATGGTTTTTTTACTTATAAAATAATAATAGGTAAATTTTTTGTAAACATTAATTAATTATCTGATAAAAAAGTTAAAATTCACAATAATGTAAGTAATGGTTTAACACAATCTATGCGTATAGTCGGATTTTTTATAACAAAATCCTTATATAACAGTCATGCACTATGAAAACTAAGTTTTTCTTCGAACTAATTTTTTATATTATATTTTACCTCTTTAAAATAGATTTTTACACATAAAAGCATCATCCATCTTTATAGCAATACGCTCTTTGTAAGATTATCCGTCTATAACTGCCATGTAGAATATCTAAGATCACCAACAATAAGTTTAAAGATTTTGACTTCGACCTACTGTTACTTGGACCGAGATAGAAGATTCAACTATTAAGCTCTTAGATTACTTTCGAGGAAAAATTATCGGATACCCTTTTGCTGAAGGTTTAGACACAAATCTCCGCAAATTCAAACGTTATATCGCTAGTCAGAGACTAACATCTACGGAACAAGCTACAATTACAAAGTTCTTCCATCAATGACGAAGGAATTTAATCTTTTAGTAGCTTTAAATACATTTGGATATGAATTTTTTAATAATATATTAGTTTTCTTAATATTTAATTAGTGAAATATGCATATCTTTTAAGTATTTAGTTTTGAATAGTTTTCTTATCTTTTATATGTAACATTAAAAAATAAATTTTTAAATAATTTTTATTTATAACAACCAAAAAATTATTTTAATGTTAAATATGTTATAGATGCATAACATACATTTACTATAAAAATCATAAACTATAAAAATAAATGATTGTTATGAAACAATAAAAGAAGAAGAAGAGTATTATAGAGAAAAGTAGGGAGAGAGAATTCTTATTGATTTGGGATGAATTACAATGGAATAGAACCCTCTATTTATAGGGAGATGGTGACTTAGCCACCAAGCAATGAAACCTAGAATCTCTCTAAATATAGACATTCACCATAAATACAATTCTATTTATAACACTCCCCCTTGAATGTCTATTCAACAGATAATTTGCCTCGTTAAGACCTTAACTAAAATAAAACCCAGTGCGAAAAAAATTCTAGAGAAGGAAAAAGAGTACACATATCTAACAATACGCCTTTTGGTTGCCTCGTAAAAAATCTTGCAAGGAAAACCCAGTGGAACAAAACCTTGTAAGGAAAAAAGAGTGCAACGCACATTAACTCCCCCTGATGAGAGCATCAATTCACATCCATAAGCATTTGCATTCCAATCTTGTGCACCATCTTCAAAAAATCTTTGGTAGAGATTTGATGAACAAATCAGCCATATTAACTTGAATGAATATATTGCACCTTGAAATCATCATTCTTGATAGAGATGAATTGTCTTCATATATCTTGTTGGAATCGTTAGTTCAATATCTTCACATAGAGGTGAAAACTCTTGCTATCATATTATCATGCATATAGTTATAGCAAGATACATTTGCGCACAAATTGCACTGAGGATGTAGTACTTCATGACCATGAATTCTATTTGCTTTAAGCAATTTAAATCCTTCAGGGATTGTTAAGTCATATAAGCCATATAATAGACTTTAGATGCACTATCAAGTTTTCATGTCATGCTAGACATATAAGATATCGAAAACTAATTGCACATACCATTGACTTTATACTTTCAAGTGTTTGAACTACATGTTCAAAACTACATGTCTTTCATATGAAGCCAATTCTATTTGAATTGTGTCTCTTCTATTTGGCCAATATTATTGCGTCTGTATTCGACAGACTTAAAATTGTCATCTATACTTAGCGCTTTCATAGATGTCGTCGACAAACATTTTATATCAGTTTCAATATTTTTTCATAAAGACATAACATAGAGATCTCTTCATTCATATTTTTAGGTACCTGAATCTCTCTTGAGATTTTTTGAAGTGTTATGTCATGTGATCTTCTAGATCACTTGCCCCTTTATTATGATCATTTTGATCATTTGCTCATCTTCTTTATCAATAAGTTTATTTGAAACCGATTTGTCTATATGCTTTAAGCGTGCTATAGACTTTGTCCTTCTAGGACTTATTCTAATAGGAGCATCTGCAATGAGAATATAGTTACTTTCTTTGCGTCAGCAAATGCGTCTGGCATGCTTTGCAATAAATTGCACATGAATTATCCTTTTATGAACTTCAAGTTCATATTATTTTATTCGGGGATCTAGATGTATAAATGATAATTCATTCCATGTAACTTTTTCTCAACTGTTGTATCTTGTCTCCCCCTCATGTTAGAAAAACTAACTTGTTTCCTCAACTTGGAGAACCCATCTTTGCGCGTTATGGTGTTAATCAAAATATACACCGCACATCAATAATAATGAGATGGAATTATTTGGTTGCTGACCTTGAAACCACTTGTGAGGGGAGAATGTAATATACTTTCGTATATAACCTATATCAAACTGATATAGATAACTTTGTTCTCATGAGCAATAGTTTAGCTATTAAGTGGAGGCACTCAATAAATCATTTTGCTAAACCAACTGTGATGTAAACAAACTTATCAAGATAAACTATCTTGAATAGGAAATCTGGGAATTATGCTCGAAACTAAATTATTGAGCAAGTTACCTCGCACACACCGGCCAGGTTGCGGGTTAATAATAATTGCACATGTAACCATCCAAGTAGCAGAACGATCGCATAGAACAGATACCTGGTGTTTCATCTATAATCAAAGGAGTGGATATAGACAAATACTCTCAACAACCTTGGAAGCCAAGTGCCGCTCCTTTGCCTATTCCGAAGAAGTTTAAAATGCCCGATATCCCAAAGTACGATGGGATAACCGATCCCCGAGATCATGTGACTACATTTACAACTGGCGTAAAGGGCAACGACTTGACCAAGCAAGAGACTGAATCAGTGCTGGTCAAAAAATTCGGTGAAATACACACGAAGGGAACACTAACATGGTATTCTCTTTTGCCTGAAAATTCTGTTGATTCTTTTGTTGAGCTTGCAGATTCATTTATAAAAGCACACTCAAGGGCTCAAAAAGTTGAAAAAAGGATGGAAGACATCTTCAAAATAAAGCAAGGAGATACTGAATTACTCAGGGAATTCATAGATAGATTCCCACGAGAACGAATGATGCTGCCACGTGTACCCGACAATTGGGCGGCTATGGCATTTGCCAGTAATTTAATTGAAAAAAAGCTCAGAAGCCACGAGGAGACTCAAAGAAAGCTTACGAGAATTCCCTGCAACAACTTGGAATGATGTTCACAACAGGTACATCACGAAGCTGTGAATAGAAGAAGACATTATCACTCAGTCCCGGAGAGATAAAAGAGTAAGTTCAAGGTGGCCAGAAACTGAAAAAAGGTCCCGTAAGAATACGTACGAAACTTATATGGGACCAGCAGGAAGGGATTCACGTTCAAAACAAGAAAATCTGAGGTATGATTCCAGATCAAGGGACAAAGATTCGTGTTCGTCGTCCAGGTTCGGAAAGGAGCGAGATACGCGAGACAACAACAGAAGCTCAAAAGCAAAGATTGGTGGTTACAGTTTCAATGTTAGCACGTCTGAGTTGGTAGCTGTTTTAAGAAGCATGGGAGATAAAGTGTGGTGGCCAAAAGAAATGAGATCGAACCCAAATAGGAGAAACCCCGATTTCTGGTGCAAGTTTCACAATGATCACAGTCACAAAACAGCAGATTGCAGACTGCTAAAAGGTGAGGTAGAGAACTTGTTAAAACAAGGTTACTTAACCAAAATGTTTAGCCAGAAGGGTAAGCAAGCATATATGAAGAATAGGCAAGAGCCACCAAAATCTCCATCACCAAAAAGAATAGTTAATGTCATAAGAGGAGGAGAAGAGGTCGACGACGTAACATATACGGCAGCAAAGAGGGTGTCAAAAATCACAGTTACCCACGGGAAGCGAGTTCGCCAAGTTTTGGAAGAAGACAGTATAACATTTGATGATGCAGACACAGATGGCGTGTTGATCCCACACAATGATGCACTGGTAATATCTTTACTTGTACATGATACTGATGTAAAACGAGTTTTGATTGATCCAGTTAGCTCTATAAATATCATTCTTCTAGGAGTGGTAAACGAGATGCAAGCTGACGATAAATTGGTACCCAAAGCACGTACCTTATCTGGTTTTGACAACTCGAGCATTGTAACAAAAGGCGAGATAATACTCACCAGATTCGCAGAAGGAGTAGTCAAAGATACCAAATTTCAAGTAATAGATATGGACATGGCGTACAATATGATTCTTGACAGACCTTGGATTCACGAGATGCTGTTCCATCTACTTTACATCAAGTTATCAAGTTCCCTTCGCAATGGGGAATAAAACAAATCCGTGGAGATCAACAGGTTTCCCGAAGCATTAACTCAGTGGCAGACTGAAGCACAAAAAATGACACTGCAGATGAAAAATTGCAATTACAGAATTCAGTTTAGGGTTTAGCAACACAAGCCTCAACTGTAGATGGACAAACGGATGTAGACTCAAGGCCTGATACTATTCAAGGACCAGAAGAGAATGAAAACATCAAAACAACAATTGAGGAACTGGAAGCGGTGGTGTTGTTTGTACATTGGCCAGACAGAAAAGTCTACATCGGAACCAACCTCAGCCAGAGATGAAAAGTAAGTTAATTGAGTTTTTAAAAGCTAACAGATTGCTTTGCTTAGTCTCATTTAGATTGACAGGTATACCACCGGAGGTGATGACCCATAAGCTGAATGAATATCCGACGTATCCGTCTATCAAACAGAAGAAAAGGAAGCAAGGATCCTTCAAAAATCAGGTGATTCAGGATTAAGTACAAAAGCTTTTAAAAATCGGGTCTA